TCGTTTGCAATTTAATGCTTTCTCAGAGGCAATAAAACGTCAGGATGCTGTTTTTGAGGGCTTAAAGATAGTTCGTGGTATTGGCCCTGCTTATAGATCATGTCTAGCGGAAGTAGTTAGAAGAAAGGCTTCAATGAAGCTTTACATGGGCATGGCAGGACAATTGGCTGAAAAACTTGCTACAAAGAGGGAGGATGAGGTGAGGAGACGAGAGGAATTTTTAAAGGCACAAAGCTCATTTATACCAAGGGATGTATTAGCTGCCATGGGATTGTTTGATACTCCTAGCCAATGTGATGTGAATATTGTTCCCTTTGACACTAGCTTGCTTGATATTGACATCAGGGATATTGACTGTTATGCACCCGAGTCTTTGGTTGGACTACCATTTAAGAGCGAAAAATCAGGATCTTCTAGGACCTCGCTTTCTATGTCCAACAACAGTTCTTATTCCGGAGATGTTGAAAGAAATGCTATTGTTTCTCATGAAAATTGTGAAGACATTGATGTGTGTGACTTGGTAGATGTTGCTGGAACTAGTAAAATGGAAGTTGAAAATGCTAAACTGAGAGCTGACCTTGCTTCAGCAATTGCACAAATTTGTTCTTTCATCCCTGAAGTGGAATATGACTCACTAGATGATAGTAAAATAGATAATTTGCTGAAAAATGTTGCTGAGAAAACAGCTGAAGCGTTGCAGCAGAAAGACGAATACATAAAACATCTTGAATCAATGTTGAAGGCTAAACATCAGCAGTGTCAATCATATGAAAAGAGGGTTGAAGAGTTGGCTCAGCAATTGTCTGACCAATATATGCAGGCTCGGAAATGTTTGGGCAATAATGATGTGACTTACTCATCAAAATCAGATGATTGCAGGTCAGGAATTTCGGATCATGGGGAGAGACAACTTGCTAGTAGATCTGGTGATCTCATGGATGAGATATCTTGTACATCTAACCCAGCTGATGCAAAAGATGGACTTTCCCCTAGGATGACTAGCAAAGCCCAAGAAGTGGACGAGAATATGACTGACTCTTCTGGAATCCAGAATCCTCATTTAGATTCGTCTATGATGGATCCACAGCGAGATGAGCAGCTGCTTGCCACCAGTAGTTCCTTAGGTGTATTGCCTTCTGAGGCTCCGACTGACCTTAGTCTGAGTGCTGCTAAGGTCAATACTGATCTTGTGCTGGAACTGCAAAGTGCACTTGAGGACAAGGCAAATCAACTGACAGAAATTGAAAGCAGGCTTAAATCTGCTTTGGAGGATGTATCCAAGCTTGGCGTAGAGTTGGAGAATAGCAGGAAGCTTCTAGATGAATCACAGGTATAGCTATTACAATATTTATAATTGCCTGATCTTTTCAATTATGCATGTATATTTACTTGTTCTTTACTCTGCTTGCTAATTCAATTACAGACAAAACATTATTTCTTGTTTACTAGGATTTTTCTTTAAGATCCTTTGTGGCTTAATCCAGGTTACTTTTACTACAAATAATATGCGACATACTGTTCCAACATGCATCGAAGCAACTACCCTTAATCTTATTGTTTAAACTTTTTCCCCTTTATCTTGGATTTGTCCACAGATGAATTGTGCTCACCTAGAGAACTGCCTGCATGAAGCTAGGCAAGAAGCCCAAACTCATCTTTGTGCTGCTGACCGGAGAGCTTCAGAATACAACACCCTGCGTGCATCTGCTGTGAAAATGCGTGGCCTTTTTGAAAGACTCAAGTCCTGTGTCAATGCTTCTGGAGGAGTTGCCGGTTTTGCCGATTCGCTCCGTTCTTTAGCTCAATCTCTTGCCAGGTGAGAACCAATTGAGAGGGATTCTGTTTTTCTGTTTATATGCCCATTATAATTTATTTTTACATGTTCTGCTAAGTACATATTTTCTAACTTCCTATTCAATTTATCCTTGGCTGACTAGTTTATAATTGCAATATCACAGTTCTGCAAGTGATGGTGAAGATGATGGTAATGTTGAGTTCCGTGCATGTATAAGGGTCCTCGCTGATAAAGTTGGTATTTTATCGAGGCAGCGTGCTGAGCTGCTCGATAGGTATTCAAAAGCTGAAGCTGCAAACAAACAGCTCTCAAAAGATTTGGAGGAGAGGAAAGAATTGGTCAAGACATTATACACAAAGCATCAACATGAGAAACAGGTATTTTCCTGATCATGATTTTATCAATCATACCATACAGCCATACCTTATACCATTTACCCATTGCCTCTCTCTAGACTCCTTGCATCAAGTTAGATTGGTTGGAATATGGATGCACAAAAATTGATGACCTATGTAGACGTAGAGAGGCTGTTTCTTTACCCCCTTCACCGAGTTGGCATGGGCTCAACCTAATGTTCCACAAATAGAACTTAGAAGTGAGGATTACTAAATGAGAGATTGATCCGTTGCATTGCAATCAAATGCTTTAAACTGAACATTGCTGTGTATGCTGACTGTCAAGTCCATTTAGAAGAGATTGATGATTATTCCTAAAAGAAGAAAAAAATAGAAGAAAATATGGATTTCCCATTTTCCCCTTTCCTTGCAATGCATGTGAGATATAACTACAAAGCAATTACTGGGTATAAGTTTTTACTCCATAGTTTATAAAGTTTACTGTGATGCTTGTTGAATTGAGTCCCCCCCAACCATTTTACTATTACCAAATTTTGACCTGCCTATTGCTATTGTCTCTTTTTGGTGTTTGTGACAAGTTTGCAATTTTGAATGTTGCACAATCAAGTGCTTTCCTTCGTCTGCTCCGAAAAGTTGACTGCTGACAGGTTATATAATTCTGAAACATAGAGAAATCAGACATACCTTCTGATTACTTTCATAATTTCATTGCGTACACTATCATTTTTGCTTCATTAGTTATCCAGGTTAAGCGTCTGGCGCACTCTGGCTTCTCCGTGTTAAATGCCTATCTTATTCTAGGGTTTTTTTTTTTTGGTAAGATTTAAGATGGGCAAATTTATTATGGTTATCTGGGGTTCCCTAAAATAACATTCATGATTATCGGAGAATCAGATACACTATTCTTGAATCAGTTACAGTATGACTTGACACTTTTTTTTTTTTTTCTTTCAACAGGCAAATAAGGAAAAAATCTCATTTTGCCGTTTTGAGGTTCATGAGATTGCTGCCTTCATCTTCAATTCATCAGGGGGTTACGAGGCAATAAGCCGTAACTGCCCCAATTATTTTCTATCTCCAGAATCTGTTGCCTTGTTCACTGATCATCTTCCTAATCGACCTGCCTATATTATCGGACAGATTGTCCATATAGAGCGACGTGTTGTGAAGCCACATTCAGGTTTGCCAAGGCACGAACAAAGCAGTGGAGGAAATCAAACTGACAGCTTGAAATCATCATCACCATCATCTGATACCTTAGCTACTCATCTCCCTGTGGGATGTGAATACTTCATCGTAACAGTTGCTATGCTACCAGATACAACCATTCATTCGCCAGTGTCTTCCTGATCTCTGGCAATAATCTTAACAGACATGATGGAAGTAGGGATAATAAATAAAAAAAGAAAAAAAAAATAGAAACTGTAAATTATGATCATATTATGAAACTTTAAACATTTAGATCCCTCGTCTTTATCAGAGGTTTCCTGTACAGTTGAATGGTGACCTGACTTTGGTCTAGACTTTTACCTTTGTAAATAATGTTACTTAGCATAGAACTGTGCACTGAATCAACCAACGTACGAAGTTCGAAGTATTAGTTTTTCATTGGTCTTTATTTCCATCAAGTTCAAGATTCTACTCTTTTCTTGAAAAAAAAAAAAAAAAAGCTGTTTATTTCATCCAAAAAATAAATAAATAAAAAAGTTTAGATAAGTATATTTAAGTGTTTTTTTTGTGATGCCACGGAGTTACTATAACTATCATCATCGTCTGTGTAACTCCATACTTCAGATCATAAACTAAAGGCGGGTTTTGGGTGTTATCTGAATAAAACCTGGATGAACTTGCATAAAACTATGATAATAGCCAACCTTTCATACTTTAATTATGCTCAAATTGGTTTATTATTGGTCTCATCTTTCTCTTGCAAAAGTAAGACTATCTACATATTTTGCATTTTTTTTTTTTTTTTTTTTTTTATCATTAGTTGTACACGTTTGTACTAGACATAATAATAATACTTCAAAGAACTTTAAACTTGCTTACTTTTTTAATTGTTTGATATTACTTCTAGAGTAAGATTTTCTGTTTTGGGATTGGTATAAGCTTATTAATTCCAAATGTTTGCAAGTGTCTAGTTAACGATGAAAATTCTTATACACTAACTACTTTGATTATTAACAATTAGTTTTTCCGAAGATGCCACAACTTCCAAATTGATTACTTTAATGAAATCAAAGTGAAAAGATGAGCTATTTCCTTCCAAATACCATATATATTTTGAAAGCTTCATCTTCTAACTTTTCTAAAACTCTTATCTTCCTAGAAAAAACTATCTTAACCACGCTATCAACCCAAACGTTGTCTTAAACAAACCAAAGAATAGTGATATTTTCCTTAAGCTAGCATTGAAGCAAAAGTTATCCCCTTTCTTTCAAGAGTGGAAAGCGTGTTAGTGCAGATATTTAGATAAAGTTTTTTCCTTCCCAAATTCGTATAAAATGCATTATATACATTAGTGTACTTAAAAATTGATATACTTCTATTTCGGGTTTGAAACAATTTCGTTAACAAACTTAATTATTTGGATTGTAAGAGGTCCAATATGGTATTATGGGCCAAAATGATTTCAAGTTGATTTTGGATTGATTCCACATTGGATTTGAATTTAAGATTTCTAAGGCCAAACTATTTAACCCTTATTCAATTTTAGCTAAATCTTTCAATTTATATCGATTTTTGACACCTTTAAATGCAACTTTACGTGCAAGTGTAAATCGACAACCAGGATGTATTACACTTATGTACCAATGTACCAACCCCACATGATTGAAATAAAGAAGTAAACCTGTTTGAATAGGCCAAAAGAAAAAGTATATTTGAAAAAAAAAAAAAAAAAAAGACTAACCGACTTAACCGATACCTTTAAAAAGGTTCCCTCCATCCCCAATTTCGCCCTTTTCAATTTCAACGCCTCCGCTGACTCCCTTAACCCGCTTTTACTTTCTTTTTCTCATCAATCAATCGCTTTCTTACTCGTTAATCAGGTATTAATCTTTTATTTTTTTTGGATTTCTTTGATTTGATTTCTTGCTTACTGTTTTCTTGGTTTAAATCATCAATTTTGTAGCTTTTTGTTAAGATTTAATTATCTGGTATTAATAAATTCCTTCTTTTTTGTTGTTTTTGAATTGAATTTAGGCTATTTGGATAATTATGTTATCTGGGTTATTGAAATTTTTACTGAATTTTTCTGGGTTTTTATGTTTTTTCTCTTCTAAATTATTAGGTTAATTAAAGATTGGTAATAAATATCGAGTGGAATTTAATAGTGCTATTATTATGTCTAATCATTAGAAATACAAGTTTCTTGCAAAATCTTAATTGTCATGGTGTAGAATAATGAAAATTATCACTAATACAAGAATATACAATTTCTGACAGAATAATGTTCAAAAAAGTTTTTGTGATTTGTGGAAAGATGATTAAAATCATCAGTCAATGATTGATTGACAAGAATGTATAAGGAGAAATTATTAAATGCACCCGAGAGCATCTAGCATAGTGTTACACGCCTGCGTGTGCGCGCAGCGCACGCTGGCACGGAGTAGCATTCTTGGTGATATTGGATTGTATGTATGGGACAAGTGTTAATGTTATTGCAGATTTTTATTGTTGCAGTTTGTCACAATTTACAAATGAGTGAGCTTTGAGGAAACTTTTGTTTCGGGTGATATTTTCTCCCCTTTGACTTGAAGGCCCTGCATTCGTAGGATCTCAGGATACCATGTCCAACAAGGGAGAGAAAGAAGCTGGAAAAGAAAGACAGTCTGCTGCTCGTGTTCTTGGTATTGCTAGACAAATACGCTCAGGACGATTATCTGAAAATACAGCAATAAAAAGTTGTGCCACTCCTGTGTTATGCAGTTCAAATAAAAATAAGAAGTCAGAGGAGTCTTCAGGGGCTGCCAAAAAAGCTGCTATTGGTGGTGTTACTGAGACTGAACCCAGGAAATCTGGAACGAAAACAGTTAACTCTACTGTCTGGAAAGCAAGAGACCTTAAACGCACTGCAGCTAGTTTAGCACAGAAGGAAGCAGGAGGTAGTAATATAACATTTTGTGCTTGCTTTTGCTTTAATGTGGTAAATTATGGTTGCCAAACTACTAGATTTAATATGTGTTGGAAAATCTGTAGTTTGAGATGGCAAATTTGCTGCTTCTTTAATCAATTTATTCATGTTTTACACCTTGATTTTCCAATCTAATGCGACAGTATCAGCAATTTTAGCTCAAAGTAGCTACCCTTAAAATTGAATTTGGGTTTTTTTTTTTTTTTTTTTTTTTTTTTTACAATTTATTTTCAATTATTTCACACTGATGCATTCAGATATGTGTATACATAGCAGGTGGACAGGAAACACCCCAGGTGACTCGGAGTTCCAGGATGGGAAAACAGCCTAGCACGCCTGCTAAGAAAACAGAAGAAAAGATCACATCCCCTCAGCAGGTTTGGAGAGAAAAAGCTCAACCGGAGTCCACTGATAGGAGGAAGCTTTCAGCAAAAAGACAGCAATCGCAGCTTCCTGGTGTTACCACAAGACAGTCATCAAAAATGACTGATTCGAGTCCTTCCACTAGCAAGTCGAAGAAGTCTGCAATTCAAAAACAGGTTGAAGGAAAGGAACCTTCACCTAAAGAACGATCTTCTAAAGGGAAGCAGGTTCAGAAAAAGCAGACTGAACATAAAGCTTCTACCAGCAGATTACATTTGGAACCAGAGAGTTTTCGGTTGGAACCAGAGAGTTACCGGTATCATATACAATGGGATGGTATGTCTATTCCCTTCTTGCCTTGTCAGAATAAATATATAGGGATTGTGAAACAACCTAAGTTTTGTTTGTTGTTCTTACCCTTATGCTTCCGAGGAACAACGTGTGCCTTGTGTGGTATTGTCGTTGAACTAGGAAGTTAGAAAAAACCAAGTTTGGCTTGTAAGTCAAGCAAAAGCAATAAAACTTATACTCTGTATTAGCTAAGCTGAATTGTAGGCCTGGAAAAATTGGACCTAGATTAAACCTCAAATCTTACTCCTAACCTAAATCTTATCCCCGAAGCTTCTAGGTTCTGGCATGTAATTGGAATTTTAATGATAATTTCTTTTTCTTTCCTGAATTCAGGTAATAACGAACCTGATATCCAAATTGGAGTTTGTTGCTCTCTGTGTGAGAAGGACCTGGGGGTTGCACCAGACAGTGGGGGTGACTATGACGGCGAGGGTGAGTTCTCCACGATACCTGTTGTAGCAATCCTGTCTTGTGGGCATTCCTTCCATTATGTTTGCCTAAATCTCGGTGAACTTGAAGGGCAGCAGGGAGATCCGCCGTGTGTTTTTTGCGAAAGTTTCATGTCTTAGTATGAATCATTTGCGCCAATTTTGTCAATCTTGGTAAAATTTGTTCATAGTCTTTTTTAGAAGAGGCAGTGTAGGCCCAGGCTCATCAAAACTCAACCAGAAACAGCAATATTTTCATATTGGGTGTTGTTGATGACTTGATCTTACTTAAATGTTACAATAAATAAGATATATGAAATAATATGTGCTCTTCATTCAACCTTGTTCAGCATTATTCAATAGTTTATGTGATTGTCGTAGTTATCAACTTTTAATTTGTATGATTTAATACGTTAAAATTTTGGCGAAGAAGATGAAATTCCCAAGGGATTGCATAATGCTTGCTGCATTTGGCAGATGTTCCTAACACAAATTCATGTCTGTTTCCCCTTGTAAAGAGGGCTTCCTAATGTTTCTTTTTCTTACCTTAAAGAAGAGTAAATAAATAAATACTGTGTATTTACATACGAAATAAGGAACAAAAACTACACAATCAAGAGAGAAAGCTAGCATAATATTCCAGAACTTTTAATGCCCATTAAACCAAGAATCACAATTGAAATTCCAAAAAATAAAGTACTAAGATGAACTACATTAGCATTTGCAGACAAGAAAGTTAAGAAAGAAACTATAGCCTATCCCATCTGTGGTTCATTTTATACAGTTATATACTGGGATTCATCATCAACCCAAATCTCTGAATCCCAATAAATTCTGGGGTGCAATCTGGAATTCAGATTCCAAATAACAGGAAATTACTTCATTTGTCAAATCCCGTAAGAAATCTGCAATACCCATAAACAATGATATTATAAGATACACTTCTCATTTGTCTATCTCCCTTGATTATCCCCATCTTCAGATATGTCAAACAAGAACTTTGGTAGTGAAGCAATCCGCGGAAGATGGTGGAGCAAATCCCCAAAAGAATCAATTCTTGGAATACTTAGTGTCTGCTGGCCACCATCTCTGACAGAGCCCTCAGCGGCAGTTGTGTCACCTTTATTATTCTGATCCAATAACTCAGGTTCACGGTCATTGGCTTTTCCATCCATTCCCTCTTCAGTAACAGAACTCTGAACAGGGGTGCCATCTTTCTGAATGAGGGAGTACCAAGAGTCGACCCTTGACATAAGAAATTTTTCATCGGAACATGGTGTATTTTGAATGTCACCGAGCAGGTGCTGGGCAATTTCCTCGATCATTTTATTATGGGATTTAGATCCTTCTTCTGTGAACTTAGGATCCTCAGAACTCCGCTGTTCCGTAATGCAATTTCCAATATGATTCACAAGGTCAGTCATTGACATAGATGGGCGAATTCCTTGCATAATTAACTGTTCGACGCTTTTTGATCCCTCTGGTTTGCCTGATTGGCTACTCGAACTAACTTCCATTGCGCACACATCCATCACTGAAATGGAATATGTGATCAGAAAGAAAAATAATAATAGGGAGGAAAACATTGTCCAAGACTAATGATGACAATTAGAATCATAAAGCAGAGAAGACACAAAATATATGCAATTGCAATATCTAAAAATTTCCATGGATCAGCACAATACCACAGGCAATTGGGCAGCCAGTAAGAGAATGCTGAGACTATAAGCAAACAAATAGAGCTGCACTTCCACATATTAAAACAGAGGATTCAAATGGTAAGGAGCATTTAAAACAGGAATCATAACCACAAATTGGTTAATATACACACCAAGAAGTGGAAAACGGGTTGTTCAGATCTGGTTCAATATGGATCATACCAAATCATGTTTGCATATGTTTCAAGTCGAATCGGGCCAAACCATATTTAATTCTATTGCCAATAATCTTTATTACGTTAAATCAATCATATTAGACATATTAAATCATAGATCAGTTTATATCGGTATGGGTCAGTTTGCCAGGTCTATCTACACCCCCCCCCCACCCACCCCAACCCTGGAAAAATAAATCCTCATCCGGTAAAATATAATGGCAGGTCCTACTATAATTCGACATAAAAATGTACAAAGAAAGGGAAGAAAAAAGAAATTCTAGCAGGAAAATCGTTGAGGAATCCATGTCAAATTTTCAGACACCACCTGTAAACTCAGATAAACACATCATCATCATCAAGAGTGTTCTAAATCTCAGCAGACATTGCGATAATAAAGGATACCTGAGCTTGGGGAAGTAGCCTCACGTGACAGAGTCTCAGATGCTCCATGAAGAGCATCATCTTGTTTGACCGAGAGAGATGATGACTGGGATAAAGGTGTTCCAACATCTTCGAAGATTGAGATGCTAGGTCCTCTGCTGGTTTCTATCTGATCCAAACTATGGCTTTTAGATTCATTTGAGTCATCAAAAATAGGAGGCTGAGAATCAAAGTACGGAGAATCTAGACTTAATTCTGGCTGCCGGCTCAGGAAATTAAGACGCACATCACACTGAATCAATTTCTCAAAATGCTTGTTCAATAGACCAAACGGCACCTTAAGGAAATGCTTCCTGAAACATTACAGTCGCAAAAAAAAATTAGTTTTAAATCTTCCCTAGCTGAAAAACTATAAAGTTAATAAATAAAATATATAAACCTAAAAAGTCACACAAATTTAAGAAAATGCAGTGTTGAAACCTTATTCATTTTCAAAGTATATATAGGAAAATGCATATTATAAGAAGTAATAGATAGTCTATTCATCAGATTGTTATACTAAAACAATATTATCATCAAGCAAATCAGGAACAAAACTGGAAACTATACACCTGGATAACTGTGACTTTTGACAGGTACGGAAGATAATGTCTAATTGCAGAAGCATCATTTCCTTGCACATAAATACATCAGGCTTTGTCAATGATCGGAAACTAAGAGCAGTACAAGTCCGTAGTGGTTATTCCAACAAAGATGTAAAGATCTCTTTACAATGTATTCCCATTTATGATTACAAAGAAGCCCAAAATCTGCTGGTCAGAGCAAAGCTTGCAGATAATATTCAGCTTTTTACAAACTAATAATTGGGTCAGAAGTCTCATTAATGTGGTCAATCAGTTTCTAAGATCCCTGACCAACAATGATAAGTGGATTTTTCAGTATCTTTCTGCATAATACAGCATAATGTCCAGAAATTTATTCTATTGTTGTTTTTGTTAGTTTTAGCAAACACGTGAGCACAACAGTATATTTTATCAACAGCAATTAAGTGCAAACTATGGTTTTTTTCTTTTACCTTCCATTCTAATTCCCTACTACAGTTTTATTTCTTCAATTACAACAGGTCTATCCCCATTTAATCTAAGTTTCATTTTAAAATACCAACCACAAAGCCCAAAACTGACAAGTAAATGGAAGCCGCACATCATGAATATTTATACAGCAAGGAAAGATCAGACAAACACACATTACTCTGAAGCAAGAGATTCTGTTGGAAGTAATGAATCAGCAAAACATTCAAGTAATTCTAGTTCTAGATAACTATTACTCCTTTGTTTCTTTTTAATTGCAACACTTATCATTTGAAGCTTGTCAATGCATTACTTCAATCACTTAAATTTTTTTATTATATTAAAGTATAAATTGAGGCGAATGGTGCGAATCTAACAAAATCACACATGACTATAATATTATTTTCTTCAGCATAAATCATCAAATATAGTCAAATTAGAGTATGTGATTACTCTATGTAAGCAAATAAAAATAAACAGACAAATTATAACTTGTTAGTTGACTCATGAAACAAAATTCAATCACTCAAAAACCGCTTTATCAAAGAGTTAAGACCAAGTGACCAACAACGCTTCAATTAAAGTAACACAATGGCTAACCTATGCAAGCTAGCCTGTCCGTCAGTAAAATCTGAAGTAGCCTGCCATAGTGTATGTTTTCTTGGCTGAGGATTTGTCTCTCTAAAGAAAAGAGGTTGACGTGCCAACTGAATAAGAACAACAGAAGCCTTCTTCAAAAACTAGAAGCTAAATTATGAAATCTCAGATAGATAGATTACATGATACACATGGAGATAAAATTTTTTTTGATATAGCATTAAACAAAACAGCATACCACAACAATCAAGGTAGCAGGTGCTTCGTCCGGAAAGTCTGCTTTCAAACCCATTATATCAGACCACTGAACTTCAATTTTGCTCTTAAGGCCTCCCTCAAGAATTTCCCAGACAAGCTTATGCTTAGCAAAATAACATTTTGCAACAAGATCTCCTTCATATCGAGAAGTATACTGCCATAAAATAAAGTTTTTAGCTACTATCACATGTAAAACAAAAATACATAGTTACTGAGAAGAATAAAAAAAGGAAAATTCACTTACCTCCCAATTGCCTATCTTCAGAAAACAAGCTGGAAAATTTGAAGCCTTAAGCTTGTCTGAAGGAAGGGCACTGCCTTTGGTGTTATTTTTCTCTCGTGACTTGGAATCATCACTGGGTGCAGATCCCAAAGTAGAAGTTTTACCTTGAGAGAGCCTCATCTGGATCAACTCAAGAAGTGACGGGCTTTTTCTCAGTCGCAAACCCAATGGACTAGGTTCCTCTAGTGGATTGTATTGTGAAGATGGGGCAGGAAATGTATCATTTCCAGAAGAGAACTGCATAAGATAACGAACAGGAATATTAAACAGACCACTTAGCAAGAATTAATAAGCAATCCTTGGAAGCACTCCATTATTCAATTATTACGTACATGGTACACTCAACCTCCTGCTCAATGGTAAAGAGTTCAAATGACTTCCGGAGTAAAACGTACTACAATGAGCAGTGATACATATGTTCTCACCAAGACCAAAGTACATCCCAAAGGCATATCTATGTTGCAGTTTAAGGTGAAAGGTCATCTGATAATATGATTCCAAGTCCCCCCCCCCCACCCCTACAGGCCTACATTTGAAATATTTAAGAATAAGAAGACATTATTCATATAAAATGTGTGACCACCTATCATTCTATTAATGTTTTCTCTAACATATGCACCCTAAGAATAGGATGAGGATAGATTAGTTGTTTTAAAAGGAAAAAAAATCGTTCAATTATAAATTAATAATGTAGCAAAAGTTCAGATTATTAACTTATATAGATCTTCCATATTCTATCCTTAAAGATTCTTAAAATACATATATAAATATAGAGACCTTTCATATCCTCTTTTTCTGTTCCCTCATTTAAATTAAAAAAAAAAAAAAAATTAAAAAAAAACCTTACCTTACATTGTTCATGGCACAAGGCAATATCTTCTCTATATTGTTCATGGCTCAAGGCAATATCTTCTCTACATTGTTCATGGCCTGGGAATTAGGTCCCTATAATTATCTCCTACTTGTGGCATGATATTTCCATTAAATTTTCTGGAAAAACCCTAATTTTGAAACATAAATGACAGGATCTAACATGTGTAATTTATTTTTTTCCTTTACAGAAAGGGTAGATTTAAAAATCCAAATATCACATCCCCATGCAATCATCCTCTCTCTTTCTCTTTCTCCCTCTCTCTCTCCAAAGTAAATCCTACAGCAATTCAAAATTTTGAAGGCCATTATCAATTGTTAAAAGCATTAAGCAAGAGACTATTCTTGGGTTTATGATGACATCCTTGGCGTTACAACTCACAAGCAACCTTATTCACCGTTCAAACAGTAAATATATTGTACTTCCCTCCTTGCGTTTACAGCTTCTCATTATAATTATAATTTATCTGAAGTTTTCATTCCTGATATGATACATGTTAGCTTGAAAAAGAAGAGGAAAACAGTGAGCATGTTGACGTGCAACTCTTGTACTTTCCTATCAATTCTTCAAATTGAACTATGTTTGATTCTCAGTTATAAATGCAGCATATTACATTCCTACGCCGCTACGCGATCTTCCATTTCACATTCCAATCAATTACAAAAAATCAGAAGATAAAAAATGCCAACAATCACTACTTCCCCTTAAATTCCATCATTAGTCACTTAAAGATACCGACTTTGTTTAATTTCTAATGAGATATTCCCTACATCCCCGATAATTTTTGGAGAGAGAGAGGGGGGGGGGGGTAGGAGTGGGTCCAAGCTTCAGAGAAAAAAGTGAACAGAAGTAGAACATTAACCTAGCTTGAGCAGAGACATCCTTTTCAGGTAAAGGTTCACAAAAGCAGCCAACATGTGTAATACGTTGTACTAAACTAATGACTATATTCACCTTACCCAACAAAACGAACAATCATGGTAAAACAGGGATATCTATGTCTAAGTAGAGAATTTGTTAAAGCCAAATTAAGTGCATTAGCATGATGATAAAGGCATCCTTGTTCCATCTCAAATTCTCAATTCAACTACTCAATAATCCCAAATTAGGTCTCCTCCGAAACATCCACAAAAGGTAGCATTCAATGTCTTAATTGAAGGGCAAAGGTCATCGTATCACTTGGCTGATCCAGTGACTCATCAGAGTAAACCATTTCATAACAAGCAAACACAATCTTCCACATAGACAATGTGGTTTTACCCCTGACTAATAATAATAACAAAAAATATGACAACATGGAATATCGTCTTTTCTAACCTTCACAACTCCTCCCCTCAGGCTCAAAACACGAATAATCAATTAATTCTACCGGATTAGCTCAATCATTAGATCACTTGGCTGATCAAGTGACTCATCAAAGTATACCATTTCATGATTAGCTAATCACAATCTTCACCATAAACAATACTTGTATATTTTTATCCTGACTAATCATATCAAATATATGACAATGTGGAATATCCTCTTATCTAATATTCCCGCCTCCTCCACTCAGACCCGAAACACGAAAAATCAACATATTCTATCGGATTAGCTCTATCATTTCGCCAAATCACCAATAACACATCATCAATCACAATAAAACACCCAAATCTATGAATTAATTATTCATACAAATCATACCCAATACAACAAAAAATACAAACATATCCAAATCAACTACAACACTGACCAAATTCATTCAATTTAACCTTAATTAATACTTCCCAATTCAAGAAAATCTATCCTTTCTCAAAATAAATTATAAAAAGCATGATTTCAACCTGATCAGAACACGAAGATTGAGGCTGCTTCTGCTTCTTATTAAAGGGTCCATTTTCTTCTTCCACAAAATCCTCGATCTCCACTTTCACCACCTGAGACTTTTCTCCGACAGTCGCCGCCGCATACGGCGGCGAAAGCCGTTGACGATCCTCGGAGCTCTCGAAATGCACCATTGAAAAGAAAAAAAAAATCTACAAAAAATTCAAAATCAAATTCAAAGTGCAGAAATCAAAATCCAAGAAACTCGAAATCTCCGGCGAGTTCCAAGAATCGTAAGGAATCTTAGAGAAAACACAACAAAATCGTCGAAAATTTGGGGGGAAATTAAAATTAGGTGAGAGAATCTGTAAACCCTAGATTTTCATTTTTTATTTTTTTTAGTTATTTATATATGGGGTGGCGTTATCCATCACGGAAAGTCAGGTGGGTAGTGGCAGGGGTATTTTTGGAATTTCAGTGGGTGTTTGAACGGTGATGTTAGGCACGTGTGAAGGTGGATACGGTAGTGAAATTACTAATATACCCTTTATTGGGTTAAAGATTTTTGAGTATGGTTTTGGTAATGGAAGGGTGTTTTGGAGATTTTAAGATAGTTGTAATTTGGATAATTGTGGGACCCTAAGTTTTATTGGAATGTGAGAGGGAAAATGAGGTGACAGATCAGTTATATTGGTTTTAGTTGTCAAATGGTTGGATAAATGGGAAACAATGGAAGTACAATTTACTTGGATTTATTGATTTTGCAATTATTTATTTATATTATTCTGTTAGACTTATTTAATGGAAATTTTTAGAATTCGGATTATCTTTATTTCTCTATGTGTTAAATTTATATCCGTAATAATTTAATATTAATAGATATACGTCTAAAAGAACCTAACGTCTCACGTGATTGTATCTCTCTTTTTATTATAGATAGATTATTAATGGTTGTTTATGATCAAAGTTTGTAAAATTTGATCCCAAAAAGTGCAATGAGCCTAGAGGGAATAGACTGGCCCATCCCTAAGTACTTGGGCATCTCGGTTTTGGGATGTTTCAATGGAATAGAGGGGTTGGACATGGAGAGATGTTGTGGGTTGCCACGACAGAATTAAAACTAAGACTTCACTATGCTCTTTTTATTGCTATATTTTTTTTGAGCTTGTAATTCATTTTTTGAATGTTTTAGGTTATTGCTTCTTGTGTAGACACTATTAAGAATTTCTTTCCATATGAAAAAGTGGAGTAGAAGGAATTTGTGATTTGTGAGGTTTAAAAAGTAAAATGGTCTTTAGTTAGTACGGAGTAACTTTTTGTTTCTTACGGGTTATGGAAGTTGGATATGGTAATCATGAAAAGTAACAAAATATAGCTAAATAAAATCTCTATACTTTGATTGCTTTTATAAATTTTTTTAGTGTTGATGAATATAAGCCAAAATACTCCGCCTTGTGAGGTAAGGATTATATCATTAAGCCATCTGTCTCATTTCCCTTTTTAACTAGTATAGGCATCGTACTATCGTGCATTGAAGGTATTCTAAAAAAACATATAGGTATTATAGATTTTCCATTAATTCTATGAGGGTATCATGGAAATTAATAATTCTTTCGTTATTATTACCTAACCAAATAACTATATTATTATTTGTGTACAGTCACTTTTTGTTTGTTTTGGTGTTTAGAGAGCCACAAAGGTGGAGATGAAAATCGATCCTAGGATCACCTAGAACCGGAAGGGAGCTCTAACCACTTGAACTATCCCTCACTCTCACACTTAAAACGTTAATTTTTATTCTATCATCGTTTTGAACCATGCAATAATAGTTGCAAATAATTTAATTTTTTTTTCAAGGGAAGAACGAGAATTTTATTTATTTATTTTTTGTTTAAAAAAATTTTATAAACTTGTACTACATCCAATAGTTTCCCTCGGGTTAAATTACTTTGCGAACAAGAAGAAACCAAATCTTGCTCATCCCCATTAGTCGTAGAGAAATGATCATTAGAGTAAGCACTATATTCCTGGCCCTTTTAATAAGGGAGATTGAAAAAGAGTTGAAGTGTTGGCTTAATATAAACCCATCAAAAAATGGCTAAAAGAAAAAGCATTTTTGTATTAGTTGGCATATATGTCGGAATTTGACTACATTTTAAGCATAGGATATTTAAACTAAGCATTGATTAACATGATGAGTTATTGCACATAGATATATTTATTTTATTTTATTTTTTATTTATTTATTTATTTATTTTGACAAAAGAGTACTAAAAAAGAAATACAAACAAAAAAGAAGACAACCAACTACACTACACAAAAGCACCAAAGAGACACTAGCGAGCAAACTTTGTTCGAGCCAAGTTGGAGTACTTGAAGTCCACACTAGGCTCGCGATCACGCTTTGCACCTACACTGGCAACCTGCAACTGAATTAGGGCAATCCACTGAATAACCTTTTTTCCTAAACCGAGGATGAAAAATAGCATTGTGACGGCGAATTGGTTGACCTAAAGACCTGGCACTAGAATGCAAAGTGGACAACTGAAAACTAAAATCACAAACTTTTCCCACAATCTCATGTGAACTCATTCCTCCCATATAACTATTAACTTCAGAATGGGTGGCAATCATGCACTCCGAACTGTTATGCACCACTGGAGCACCTAAGGACTGCTGCAAAATGGGAACCGGCTAAGACTCTGGAATGGGCACCGTTTGCCGCTCCTCATCACATGATACATTTAGTGAAGGTAAGGTAGGTGACCCTTCTACACTAGGCTTCACATCGTGGGAGACTTCCATCGTGATAGAGGTGATCACCTCCTCCGGATATGACTGCAAAGCTGGAGCACACATGGACTGGGAAATGGGAGTCGACTAGAACTCTCTGAAGTGGGCAATGTCTGTCGCTCCAATCCACAAAGGAACTTAATTGAAGTAGAAATAGAGGTCTCTGCTTCCCTAGAAATTACATCTTGGGGGACCTCTGGGCACATAAATTGAACAAGTAAACAAAAGAGCTAAGGTGTGTTTCAATTAATTTGGAGTTGAGCTAAATTTGAACTTGGGTTAGTCAAATGAAGTTATTGAAGGATCCTTGTTTAAATTATTTTTCTTATTTGTATATTGATGCGGATGACACAAATTGTATGTCATGTCATGTCAAATGTAAATATCACGTAGCAAAATATTACTTCCGCGTTTCTTTTTAGTTGACATGTTTTGTTAGTCACGTTTCTCAATGCACAACTTCAACCATCCATATCTTTAATTATCAATAAGCAAAAATTATGAAAATTTGATATTTTGAAAATATATATCGTAACAAATCTAACAAGATCTCACATGACTATATATTTCATTACGTATAAAGTACAAAACACGGTCAAAAGGGAGTGTGTGAATAGTGCTAAAATCAAAACGTGTCAACTAAATAAATGAAAGTAGTATTATTTAAGAGATGTTTTTTAGAAAAAAGTTTTGGGTGTGAAATGTTAAGCCGCCTTTTTTCAAATACCATAACGTTACTTTTTTGCATGTTTGCTACCCATCTAGGTCATTGTCGGCATGTGTACAAGTCAAGCCAAGAAGTTTATATGTTACATACGATGATCTGAATGATTAATTACATCTAAAGATGGAATTCTTGTGGGCTAATATTAACAATGACATGACAGTACAGTACATGCATGATCTAACTAAACCTGGGCACGGGCCGGGTTGGCCCGCGTGCCGCCCGGCCAGTGGCGGAGCCAGGATTTTCAACTTGGGGGGACAAAATGCTTAACTTACGAAAAGCTTAACAAAAAATAAAAACAAAAAAAAAAACTCACACACAAATTGGTTAATACTTAATATTAAAATTTCAAAATACAAATATATACTTAGTCATACAATTCAAAATGATGAAAAAAATTACATAAACATTACATTAAAATTACAAGTTCATTCTTCGAGTCTTCATACTTTGAAATCGATCAATAATCTTTTCGTCGGAAACTCGTAAGAAGACATCCTTCTCAATAAAAGTGACCAAACAATCATTCATAAGTTGATCACCCATGCTATTTCGCAACTTGTTTTTGACACATGTCATTGCAGAAAACACTCTTTCAACACTTGCCGTGGCAACGGGAAGAATCAACATCAACTTGATAAGCAAATGAATAAGAGGAAAAGTCTTATGCTTATTGGTTTTAACAAGCATCATAGAAAGAGAATTAAGGTCATTTAAACCTTGAAATCTTTCATCATTTAGCATATTCTCCATGAATACATCAAGTTGATATTCAAGAGCCATCAAATCAAAGCTTGAAAATTCTTCGGGATAAAAAGAGGCAAGTTTAAGTACCTTATCTTTATCAAAGGATGAGAAGTTATCTTTAGGACTTAAACAAGCCATACATAATAGTAACTCCATATTCCTCTCATTAAATCGTTCATCAAGTTCTTGAAGATGCAAATCAATTAGTCTTAAGAAAATTCCAACCCGAAAATGATGTTCATTTGTTGCTTCTTCAACAAAACATCTTGATCTTCCATGAGGAACATAAAGAGAATCCATAGTGGGAATAACAACACCATGTTTAGTGCAAAATGAAGTTACCTTGTTTAAGAGAGTATCCCATCCTCGCTCCCTCATTTTTTGCAACACCGTTTTTGTATAAGTGACAAGTTCCATGGCATTTACAATATCTTGCTCCTTTCTTTGCAAAGCAACACACAAATCATTAGTGTATCCAAAAATAGTCAACATCAAGTGAGCAACAAAAATAAAGTCAAATGACTCTAATTGTCCTAAAACAATTTGAGCTTTGAACTTATCTTCCGATGCACCATGCTTCCCAATTTGTACAAGCACCTTAATAATTGTAGGAAATAAGAGGATGGCATTTAAAAGTGACTTGTAATGAGAACTCCAACGAGTATCCCCGGGCCTACTCAAACCAAGTTCTTGATTTAAACCCGATCCACTCACAATATCCCCAACATCCAAGGCTCGAGCAACTTCTTGAGCTTGATCTTGACGAATCATTTCTCTTCTCTTGCAAGAAACTCCAACCACATTCAACAAATTTCCAAGTATCTCGAAAAGCCAACCACAACTATCATTCTTTTTAGCAACGGCAACTAATGTTAGTTGAAGTTGATGAGCAAAACAATGTATATAGTAGGCACTTGGAGTATCATTCATAATCAAAGTCTTAAGGCCATTTATTTCACCCTTCATGTTGCTAGCTCCATCATACCCTTGCCCTCTTATCATAGATGGGCTCAATGAATGTTCAACAAGTAAAGACATGATTGCATCTTTAAGAGTTAAAGCGGTAGTATTAGCAACATGAACAATGCCTAAAAATCGCTCCATTACCTTTCCACTATCTCTATCAACAAAACGCAAAACAAGAGCTAGTTGTTCTTTTTGGGACACATCACTTGACTCATCGGCCAATATAGCAAAGTAATCATCACCAACTTCTTCTATTATGCACCTAGTTGTTTCTTTGGCACAACAGTTAATAATGTCCTTTTGAATAGGAGGGGAAGTCATTTGACAATTTTTAGGTGCATTTTCAAGAGTATGTATCCTTACTTCCTCAACCTTTTCTCCTAACCACTTCAAAAGCTCAAGGAAATTACCCCTATTATATGACTCCCCACTTTCATCATGTCCACGAAATGCCAAACCTTGCCCCAAAAGAAATCTTAAACAAGATAAAGATGCTTTCAAGCGGATAAAATATTCACTTTTAATCACA